CCGATTTAAATTATAAGCTGTTATATTTTATTGTCCCTTTTTAAGTATGATAAAGCCCTGCCTTTTCTAAAAGAAAATGTTTCATATTACAAGATTTTCTTTTTATAGCAAAGGTGCACTTTCGTGCATTATTTCAGACACGAACGGGCACCTGAGTAGAACCTCCGACGTTCCTCACGCTGGATGGATAGTTTCCTTACATGAAAGAATCCAAAGTCCCTGTCGGGATTTGAACCTACAGCTGTGATGGGCAACTGTCAAGTTATATAAGTTTATAAAATGTTGCTCGATTGGAAAATAATATAATCGCCATTTCTTATAATTATATATATATATCGGTAAATATATACTGTATTAGATGTCTGTTGCCTTATTTTTGTAAATAAGTAACCCCATTAAATATATATGTTTTTTGTGTTTCAGATATGTCCCTTTTAACGGCATTTTTTTTAAAAAGTGAATAATGACGTTTTTACCATATGATTCAAAATAAAAACTGTTCAAAGAAATACCGATTATGAAGGTACAAAGTGGCAAACTATGACCACATAAAGATGAAAAGAAAAATCGATTTAATAATTTGTTTGCTTTGTTTGTCTGTTGCATTTCACGCTTGACCACGGATGCGGTTTGAAAGAAGAAAGTTATGCGTCATTAGGTTGAGAGTCATAGATAAGCAATTATAATGCATTGTATCTTGTTTTTATTCGACGAGTTAAGGTGAAATCATTAAAAATAGGGCGACATAATTAAACAAAGACAAAGGTATGTCAATTTTTATTTATAATTACTGAAAATCACTTGTTTTGTCACATCACGTCCTTTTTGTCCAATCAGATTGTTCATTTAGACACCGTTAAGTGACCAATGCGCTTCATTTGGTGAGTTTTTCCCTGGAATCTTTTTATAACATAGTACGCGCAGTAGAGGCAGCACACGTAAGACAAAACTGTTGTAATTTGCCAATATTCCAGAGATTTTCTTGACAAATATCTTGTCAAATTTAACAAATTCTCAGTAATGCCTGCTCTACGGGTGATGTCATTCGTAAAATAGAATATGAAATAAGGGTATAATGAATCAGTTCCTTATATTGAAATAATCTTTAAATAGAATCGTTATGTCATTTAAACATAGAATCTAATACTTCCGGGAGATTAAATTTAAAATAATGATGTTATTCTGAAAATAGAACGGTGTGTCCTTCTTCAAAATAAAATTAAATAATGCCGCCTCGTACTGAGGATGAAAATGAAAATTTAAGTAAGGAACAATATGACATGCACAATAAGAGATGATCAGAATCTTTATATCGCTGGACGTCTATCATCGTCATTAAAGTAATATTTTCGGTTAAAATGTATCTATTTTAACGTTGTTTAATTCTAAAATGGAAAAAAATAGCTGTTTTTGCATCCATTCATATATAAACGATGTAAATATATTTCCACTTTGTGTACGGATTATTCTATATAATATTTAATATATTTAGTATTTAGATATAGTTCTGTTTATTTGTAATTAAACAAAATTTACTTATACTACTTTTTTATTATCTCTATGTTAAGGACCTGACCCCCAATGTCATGCCCTAGATCGATTATACAACCGGGAGATAATAAAATAATTATGTCATTCTATATATTAAACGATTTTTCATTCTTCATATAGAATATGCCGCGCATGCGCAGCACGTTACGTTAAACCGGCCCCCAGTACTACTCTTAAAAATGAATATTCTCCACCTAGGTTAACAAAGTTTGTTTTGTATGGTATGTATATTCTTATATCCATATTTGGAGCCAGCGTTTCAATAAAACATTATGTAGATGGAGTATTTGACATACAAAATCGTGAGAGGCGAAACATAAGTACACCGACTTACAAAACAGTATAGGATAATAAAAGAAATAATATTACCTTGGCAGATTCATGTTGCATAGCTTGAGTCTGATACAGATAACAACTATTTTCAAATTTGATCCATCCGCCAGGACATTCTAAAAATAAACACATATCAACAAATAAACCTAGACAAATACAATAGAAGAGCATTATTAAGGTAAGTTAAGAAACACAATGAGATACATAATTATTTTGAGCAGTTAGGCGTGAGACTTAACAACCATATTATCAAATACTTATTCTAACACTCTTCGTGACTTTGGCACTATAGACAAAGAAGAAAAAACGGTGTTCAACTGCCAATAAACACTAACGTTTTTTCTTATTATTTCTTTTGTTGAATAATTCCTACATATTAGCAACAGTAGCAACAGTAGGGTGTAAAATCGAAAAGCGTTATACGAAAATTGGCACCGAAAGTTATCTCCGCTTGAAAAAATAACATTAGTGATTTTCCTTCTTTTATCTTGTAAGAATTGAAATAATATCGGTCTCAGTGGTGTTTATCGGCTATTTAACACCGGTTTTGTCGTTTTGATACAAACAAATTGACCACTTAGGCCTACGGCCTTCGTAGACAATTCCTCAATTTAAAACTCCGAACCGGTGATAAATGTCCATCCGCTAAGACCGATAATATTTCCAAATAAATCATTTTTAAACAAACATATCAATTTATCATTGCGTAGGTGTTAAATTGTACACCGTATTACTTAAAATACATTAACAGAGATCAGCTAAGTTTCGTAAGGCTTTATAAAGGACAAAAACTTGTTAATTTACATTAAACATTAAAAGGTAATAAATTAATATTTAGAGTAAAATCATTAAGATAAAAGTTAACGGTTGATCCAAACGTTGTTGCGATATAATGCAAATTACCATTGGTCACATTTAATGGAGGCCCACAGACTGCACAATGGTTAAATTGAATAAATTCATTAGTTAAGTTAAATTTAAAAGTTGTATCATGACGTTAAAAAAACAAGAGGGCCAATTTTCTATTGTTCAGTAGAAAATGATGTTGTGTATACATTTTACATGGTATTTTTAGTTTCTTGTTTTTGGCCTTTTTCAATTTGGGTGGTTCCAGTATTCCTACTTGAATACTGTTATATCACCCTTAGAATATGTTGCCTGCTTTTTAAATTTGTCTTTTGGCGTCTTAACTGTGATATGCCGGCTTCATAACCTCAGATCCCCTTTCAAAATTCCATTTTATTTAGTTCCGCCCATTGTTTTCTTGTTTAGGGCACACGCATTCTTTTACTTGGGGACCATACGCCGCTTTTCATGGAATGACACTACTGTGTCACATTGAAGGTTCCATGAAAGCCGCCGTATGAACACATCTGCAGATGTTTTTAAATTCAAAATTTCACCATTTTAGTGTTTAAATGTTGAATTCTGCTTAAGCCGGTGCTAAGAGGCGTGGACGGTAACTTGCACTTTCCAGTACCGTCCATGAACAGGCTCAATCAAACCGAGCCTGCAACATTTTTAATTTGTGTCGTATTGGGCTTTCTTTAGGGATTCTGTATTTCACTATTTCATTGGCTTTAGCAATTCAATCAAATTCATATGAGCAAATTTGATAATACACTACCTAAGAATGCTAAATCCAAGTTTGGAGATCATTCATCAATTAGGTCTGTAAAATGAGACGTTTAAAGCTATATTCAGCTCTAGCGGCCCCCACAAGGGACAAACCAAATTAATCTGAGCAAACTTGATAAAAGCCTAACCAAGACTGCTACAGACAAAAATTGGTGATCATCCATCAATTGGTTCTGTATTCATAGAAAAAGACGATTGCTGACGCATGATGACGGACGACGGACGTCGGATTATCCCCCTTTGATACAAATAGCTAACACTGAACCTTCAGTTCTGGTGAGCTAATAACAGGAAAAATGGTTTATATTGTTCTTTATTGTAAAGGCCTTAAGATACGGTGGGATTTAGTTGTTCAACACTAATTATAGATAAGATGTACAATTTCCAAAGCAATTCAGACCATAATTCTGTATTATATGAATCATCTGAGGTTTCCCTAAAAAGTTCCCTCCCAATTGAACTCCTACATACTTTACTCACTAATGTTTTTTCTCTCCATAAGTAATGATTGAAACACCTTCCTTCATTAAAAAAAATGTTAATATTTTATTAATGTGCAATCTGACTCAAACCGGGGACCCTCGGGACCTGGAACTACGGCTCTACTGACTGAGCTATCCGGCCGCATAAAACCTACCTCCCCTGATTAGAGAACAGTTCAATACCGTGACACAATCATTTTCGGAATAATCTTGGATTCGAACATACCACAACTTTGGGTCTCCTGAAGAGTTTTTCAACATCATTTTTACCCCATTTTACTACTATGTTTACCTTTTAGCCCTTATTGTTCTGGAATTTCATTCATTACACCCATCATCAGGAGATAATTTGGCAATCCGTTACTTGTCATTGCAGGAGGTCTGTACGACAAGATTTTCAAAATAGAACATGTCCTATCCCATACATCTAGTATCACGGTTTGCGAATTTAAGAAAAAGTAAGCTACACACATTACATTTGCTTGTACATCTTAGTTTTTATCGGTGTTGTATTTTAAAATCTCACTTCTGTTGAGGCCTTAACGATTTTAACTAGAACAACTAAAATAAAAGATATGTCTACATATGTTGTTTCCGGAAAATCTTATTCAATTTCCGCACAATATTCATATGAAAACGGCATAATTTTACCGTTTTTAACGTTGTCCTAGCGGTATATTTTTGAATAGATAAATGTATTTTTTCCATAATAACATAAGACAATAATTAAATGAAACAAAACAAAAGTGGTACACAAAAAAAAAAGCTATCGAAAATGTGTACGATACCTATAAGGTAAAATGGTGACAGATCTATTTTTAAACTCTCCTAAACAGTAATGCACATAATAATATTTATAATTCATTAACGCTTGGGATTACATTGTAGTTAAACTTATACATATCAAATGTATTGACAAAAGTTCCTAATATTGAACAAGATGGAAAATGATATAAATTAAAATTGACCTTTAGAACAACTTAGTGTTTCCCAACTGCCTGTGTCAAGGCAGCTTATTGTCCCGTTTCCACCATATCCTCTATCACAGACAAGAGAAGCGGTTGATCCAAACGTTGTTGCGATATATTGCAACTTACCATTGGTCACATTCAATGGAGACCCACAGTCTGTATAATGGTTACAATCATTAGATACATTTAAATTTAATATCATAACGTTAAACAAAAGCGTAATAATGGTGTATATTCATATTCATTATAACGATTAACTAGAATATCTAGAATGAAATATTTCTCGGTATATAATTTATTGACAGCGAGTGGGGAACAATCATAAAATCATCGTCCAATTTACAAAGAATAGCATCTAAATGTTTTGTCTAAATATGTTGTTTCCGGAACATTCATTCTATTTCCGTAAATTATTCATATGAAAACGTCATAATTTTACCGTTTTTTAACAAAAGCACCTTTAGATATAGCTTTCATACTCTTTTATTTGTATTTCATATATACAAGTCACAATGCATACAAAAGAGCTCTCAAACGTTTTAAAAAAAAACTATTAATGTTCACATTTCAATATACTTTTGACGGCACATGTTCCAGTTTCTCAAATGCCAAAATCAACAAAGCATATACCTGAGTTATTTTCAACCACATAAAGCCACATTTGAAAAATCATTTTTAACCAAATGAAGGAAACAAGGACAATCAACTGTTTCTTATCATAACCATGAATACATAAAAACTAAAATCTAAACGCAGATGTACTGACATAGGACGACAAACGGTATATTATCACAATAAATCACATGAGGATTGTTGTTCTTTGTTGAGCTTCAAATGTTAGCAGAATATGCTCTGGTCAGCTAAAATACAACCACCATATTTTTGATATTTGAGTGAGAAACTCAGAGGTCTGTTGTTGATTATAATTATATAATCAATAAAAACCTTTGAAATGCCTTTCCCTGATTGGCTAAAAAGCAACTTTTTGTAAACTAGAAATGTGTCATCATGCCACGGATGCCCCCGCATGCAGCCAAAATTTCAGATGTTATAATATTTAGTTCCAAATTTGTTTGCAGAAATAATTTTTTTCATTTTAAGTTCAAAGCCCTTAAAACTTTTCAATGTTAACACAAACCATTTCCATACAATGTTCAAGGCACTGAAATTATTCTGTCTTAACCTTTTGAAAATAGCATATTTCATATTTGTAGCCAAAATAGTGGCTACATACATTTCTACAAAAGTATGAGTGCTGAAACTGAAAGTTCAAAATTTTTCCAACATTCAAGAAAGATAAGTTTGTCCAAAATCATTGAACCATGACCAAATTCAAACTGAAACTGCTTATTCCTAAGATGTATCTATATTATTTTCAAAGTGAAAGGGACATAACTCTGCCAAAAAATCATCGAACCATGACCAAATTCCAACTTGACCTGCCCATTCCTTGATATATCCATATGTCAAGTTTGAGTTAAATATGTAACACTGTTGGGTAGATATGAACAGAAACTGTTAATTTCATATTATTTTCAAAGTGAAAGGGGCTTTACACTGCCAAAAATCATTGAACCATGACCAAATTCGAACTTGGCCTGGGCATTCCAAAAACATATCCATATGTCAAATTTGAGTTGAATGTGTTGTACCGGTGGGGAGATAATAAACAGAAACTGAAAATTTCATATTATTTTAAAGTAAAAGGGGCATAACTCTGCCAAAAATCATTTAACCATGACCAAATTCGAACTTGACCTGTATTTTCTCATGACATATCCATATATCAAATTTGAGTTGAATGTGTGCAACCGTTACTAAGATAATGAACGGAAACTGATGATGACGGGATGACAGAATGACGGAAGGACGGAACAGGGTAATACTATATGCCCCGGCCATTACATGGCGGGGGGCATAAAAATAACAGGTCAATATCAGAGTATATCTTTTCCTACAAATACATTTTCAGAGTATATTCACCGGTTTTTCTTCTTAAAATAGATTTTCTGGAAATCCCTAAAAGACGCGAGACTTTGACGTGACGTCACGCCAAGTTTGTTGTTATTATTCTGAAGAAACGTTGAGTTGGGTGTACATAAGAGTCAAATTAGTCTATTTTAGTGACCGTTTTTCATTTTTAAAAAAAATAGGGATTAGCATGCCAATGGAAAGGGCCAAATTATGGAAACAGTAGACAAGCTGAAAAATAATGATTCCGTCGTATGCAATGGCAGATGTGATAAGCCATATAAAGCTATTTATAGATAATATAATAAAACAGATATGTACTTTTTAGCTGTTGAATATGATGTGATATGTACTGCAAAACTTAATATTGACCTCGACTATCGCCTCGGTCAATATTAATTTTTTCAGTACGTATCACATCATATTCAACAAGTGAAAAGTCCATATTTGTATAATATTTAACATAATTGTAAGGATTTCGGAGGGAACATATATCTCTATCAGATCACTGTGACCTTAAATCTTAAACATCATGAACCAGATTTAGTGTTTTATCGGTAACATTATCCTACCATGAAGTTGTATTTTCCTGTTCCATATTTAAATTCTTTAACGTTGTCCTAGCGGTATATTTTTGAATAGATAAATATAATTTTTTAATAATAACATAAGACCTATATAAATGAGAATAAGACAAAAGTGATATGCAACAAAGAAATTTAAAAAAAAACAAAAAAAAAACAGAAAATGTGTACAATACCTATAAGGAAAAGGTGACAGATCTTTTTTAGACTCATATATACAGTAATGCACATCATATATTCAAATTTCATAAACGTCCGGGTTTAATTTGTAGTTAAAAGTATACATATCAAAATATCAAATGTATTGATAAAAGTTCTTCATGTTTAACAAAAATCGAAATTGATAGAAATTAAAATTGACCTATAATAGAACAACTTGGTGGTTTTTCCCAACTGCCTGTGTCAAGGCAGCTTATTGTCCCATTTCCATCGTATCCTCTATCACAGACAAGAGAAGCGGTTGATCCAAACGTTGTTGCGATATATTGCAAATTACCATTGGTTACATTCAATGGATACCCACAGTCTGAAGAATGGTTACATTCATTAGTTACATTTCAATTTAATATCATATCGTTAAACATAAGCGGAAAATGATGTATATTCATATTTATTTTAACAATTAACTAAAATAACTAGAATAAAAGATTCCTCAGTATATTTTATTGACAGCGAGTGGGACATTCATAAAATCATCGCCCAATTTACAAAGAATAACATCTAAATATGTTGTCTAAATATGTTGTTTCCGAAACATTTTATTCTATTTCCGTAAATATTAATATGAAAAAGTCATAATTTTCCGGTTTTATTTTAATCAAAAGAACCTTCACATAAAGCTTTATAATCTTTTATTGGTATTTCATATATAAATGTCACAATGCATACAAAAGAGCTCTCAAGGGCTCACAAAAAGACGAATAATGTACACATTTCAATACTAGTACTTTTGACGGCACATGTTCCAGTTTCCCAAATGCCGAAATCAACAAAGCATATACCTGAGTTATTTTCAACAACATCAACAATATAAAAAACATTTTATCCAAACCAGGAAACAAAAACAATCAACTGTTTTTAACCATAACCATGAACAAATAAAAACGAAAATCTAAACGCAGACGTACTGACATAGGACGACAAACGGTATATAATCACAATAAATCACGTGAGGATTGTTTTTCTTCGATGAGCTATGTAAAAATGTTAGCAGAATGTGCTCTGGTCAGTGAAAATACAACTGCCATATTTTTTATTTTTGAGTGAGAAACTCAGAGGCCGATTGATTGATATTAAACAGAATTGTAAGGATTTGGAAGGGAACATATATCTCTATCAGATTACTGTGACCTTAAATCTTAACGTCATGAACCAGATTTAGTGTTTTATCGGTAACATTATCCTACGATGAAGTTGTATTTTCCTGTCCAGATTTTAATTCTTCGACGTTGTTCTAGTGGTATATTTTTGAATAGATAAATATAATTTTTCAATAATCAATTAGACCATCAATAAATGAAAACAAAAACAAAAGTGATATGCAAAAAAACAACTAAAAAAACAAACAACAACAACAGAAAATGTATACAATACCTATAAGGTAAAACGGTGACAGATCTATTTTTAAACTTTCCTAAACAAAAATGCACATACTGATATTTATATATCATTAACGTCCGGGCTTACATTGTAGTTAAACGTATACATACCAAATGCATTGACAAAAGATCTTAATATTGAACAAAGATGGAAATTGATAAAATCAAAATTGACCTTTAATAGAACAACTTGGTGTTTCCCAACTGCCTGTGTCAAGGCAGCTTATTGTCCCGTTTCCATCATATCCTCTATCACAGACAAGAGAAGCGGTTGATCCAAACGTTGTTGCGATATATTGCAACTTACCATTGGTCACATTCAATGGAGACCCACAGTCTGTATAATGGTTACAATCATTAGATACATTTAAATTTAATATCATAACGTTAAACAAAAGCGGAATAATGGTGTATATTCATATTCATTATAACGATTAACTAGAATTACTAGAATGAAATATTTCTTGGTATATTTTATTGACAGCGAGTGGGGAACAATCATAAAATCATCGTCCAATTTACAAAGAATAGCATCTAAATGTGTTGTCTAAATATGTTGTTTCCGGAACATTCATTCTATTTCCGTAAATTATTCATATGAAAACGTCATAATTTTACCGTTTTTCAACAAAAGCACGTTCAGATATAGCTTTAATACTCTTTTATTTGTATTTCATATATACAAGTCACAATGCATACAAAAGAGCTCTCAAACGTTTAAAAAAAATATTAATGTTCACATTTCAATATACTTTTGACGGCACATGTTCCAGTTTCTCAAATGCCAAAATCAACAAAGCATATACCTGAGTTATTTTCAACCACATAAAGCCACATTTGAAAAATCATTTTTAACCAAATGAAGGAAACAAGGACAATCAACTGTTTCTTATCATAACCATGAATACATAAAAACCAAAATCTAAGCGCAGATGTACTGACATAGGACGAAAAACGGTATATTATCACAATAAATCACATGAGGATTGTTGTTCTTTGTTGAGCTACAAATGTTAGCAGAATATGCTCTGGTCAGCTAAAATACAACCACCATATTTTTGATATTTGAGTGAGAAACTCAGAGGTCTGTTGTTGATTATTATTATATAATCTATAAAAACCTTTGAAATGCCTTTCCCTGATTGGCTAAAAAGCAACTTTTTGTAAACTAGAAATGTGTCATCATGCCACCCGCATGCAGCCAAAATTTCAGATGTTATAATATTTAGTTCCAAATTTGTTTGCAGAAATAATTCTTTCATTTTAAGTTCAAAGCCCTTACATTTTTTCAATTTTAACACAAACCATTTCCATACAATGTTCAAGGCACTGAAATTATTCAGTCTTAACCTTTTGAAAATAGCATATTTCATATTTGTAGCCAAAATAGTGGCTACATACATTTCCACAAAAGTATGAGTGCCGAAACTGAAAGTTCAAAATTTTTCCAACATTCAAGAAAGATAAGTTTGTCCAAAATCATTGAACCATGACCAAATTCAAACTTAAACTGCTTATTCCTAAGATGTATCTATATTATTTTCAAAGTGAAAGGGACATTACTCTGCCAAAAATCATCGAACCATGACCAAATTCCAACTTGACCTGCCCATTCCTTTCACATATCCATATATCAAGTTTGAGTTAAATATGTAACACTGTTGGGTAGATATGAACAGAAACTGTTAATTTCATATTATTTTCAAAGTGAAAGGGGCTTTACTCTGCCAAAAATCATTGAACCATGACCAAATTCGAACTTGGCCTGGGCATTTCAGAAGCATATCCATATGTCAAATTTGAGTTGAATGTGTTGTACCGGTGGGGAGATAATAAACAGAAACTGAAAATTTCATATTATTTTCAAAGTGAAAGGTGCATATCTCTGCCAAAAATCATTGAACCATGACCAAATTTGAACTTGACCTGCGCATTCCTTTGACATATCCATATGTCAAGTTTGAGTTGAATGTGTTGTACCGTTGGGGAGATAATGAACGGAAACTGAAAATTTCATATTATTTTCAAAGTAAAAGGGGCATAACTCTGCCAAAAATCATCTAACCATAACCAAATTCTAACTTGACCTGTATTTTCTCATGACATATCCATATATTAAATTTGAGTTGAATGTGTTATACCGTTGGGGAGATAATGAACGGAAACTGAAAATTTCATATTATTTTCAAAGTAAAAGGGGCATAACTCTGCCAAAAATCATCCAACCATGACTAAATTCGAACTTGACCTGTATTTTCTCATGACATATCCATATATCAAATTTGAGTTGAATGTGTGCAACCGTTACTAAGATAATGAACGGAAACTGATGATGACGGAATGACAGAATGACGGAATGACGGAAGGACGGAATGACGGAAGGACGGAATGACGGAAGGACGGAAGGACGGAACAGGGTAACACTATATGCCCCGGCCATTACATGGCGGGGGCATAAAAATTACAGGTCAATATCAGAGTATATCTTTTCCTAGAAATACATTTTCAGAGAATATTCACCGGTTTTTCTTCTTAAAATAGATTTTCTGGAAATCCCTAAAAGACGCGAGACTTTGACGTGACGTCACGTCAAGTTTGTTGTTATTATTCTGAAGAAACGTTGAGTTGGGTGTACATAAGAGTCAAATTAGTCAATTTTAGTGACCGTTTTTCATTTTTAAGAAAAATAGGGATTAGCATGCCAATGGAAAGGGCCAAATTATGGAAACAGTAGACACGCTGAAAAATAATGATTCCGTCGTATGCAATGGCAGATGTGATAAGCCATATAAAAGCTATTTATAGATAATATAATAAAACAGATATGTACTTTTTAGCTGTTGAATATGATGTAATATGTACTGAAAAATTAATATTGACCTCGACTATCGCCTCGGTCAATATTAATTTTTTCAGTACGTATAACATCATATACAACAAGTGAAAAGTCCATATTTGTATAATATTTAACATAATTCTAAGGATTTGGGAGTTAACATATATCTCAATTAGATCACTGTGACCTTATATATTTTTCGTCATGAACCAGATTCAGTGTTTATTGGTAACATTATCCTACCAAGATGTTGTATTTTCCTTTTCAAGATTTTAATTCTCTAACGTTGTCCTAGCGGTATATTTTTGAAAAGATAAAGATAATTTTTCGATAATAACATAAGACCTTTATAAATGAGAATAAGACAAAAGTGATATGCAACAAAGAAATAAAAAAAAAAAACAGAAAATGTGTACAATACCTATAAGGTAAAACGATGACAGATCTATTTTAAACTCACCTAAACAGTTATGCATATAATATATTAAATTCATTAACGTCCAGGCTTACATTGTAGTTAAACGTACGCATATCAAATGTATTGATAAAAGTTCTTAATGTTTAACAAAGATGGAAATTGATACAAATTAAAATTGACCTTTAATAGAACAACTTGGTGCTGTTTCCCAACTGCCTGTGTCAAGGCAGCTTATTGTCCCGTTTCCATCATATCCTCTATCACAGGAAAGAGAAGCGGTTGATCCAAACGTTGTTGCGATATATTGCAAATTACCATTGGTCACATTCAATGGAGACCCGCAGTCTGAATAATGGTAACATTCATAAGTTACATTTAAATTTAATATCATAACGTTAAACATAAGCGGAAAATGATGTATATTCATATTTATTTTAACAATTAACTAAAATAACTAGAATAAAAGATTCCTCAGTATATTTTATTGACAGCGAGTGGGACATTCATAAAATCATCGTCCAATTTACAAAGAATAACATCTAAATATGTTGTCTAAATATGTTGTTTCCGAAACATTTTATTCTATTTCCGTAAATATTAATATGAAAAAGTCATAATTTTCCGGTTTTATTTTAATCAAAAGAACCTTCACATGAAGCTTTATAATCTTTTATTGGTATTTTATATATAAATGTCACAATGCATACAAAACGAAAATCTAAACGCAGACGTACTGACATAGGACGACAAACGGTATATAATCACAATAAATCACGTGAGGATTGTTTTTCTTCGATGAGCTATGTAAAAATGTTAGCAGAATGTGCTCTGGTCAGTGAAAATACAACTGCCATATTTTTTATTTTCGAGTGAGAAACTCAGAGGCCGATTGATTGATATTTAACAGAATTGTAAGGATTTGGAAGGGAACATATATCTCTATCAGATCACTGTGACCTTAAATCTTAACGTCATGAACCAGATTTAGTGTTTTATCGGTAACATTATCCTACCATGAAGTTGTATTTTCCTGTTCCAGATTTTAATTCTTCGACGTTGTTCTAGTGGTATAATTTTGAATAGATAAATATAATTTTTCAATAATCAATTAGACAATTAATAAATGAAAACAAAACAAAAGTGATATGCAAAAAAAACAACAACAAAAAACAAACAACAACAACAGAAAATGTATACAATACCTATAAGGTAAAACGGTGACAGATCTATTTTTAAACTTTCCTAAACAAAAATGCACATACTGATATTTATATATCATTAACGTTCGGGCTTACATTGTAGTTAAACGTATACATACCAAATGCATTGACAAAAGATCTTAATATTGAACAAAGATGGAAATTGATAAAATAAAAATTGACCTTTAATAGAACAACTTGGTGCTGTTTCCCAACTGCCTGTGTCAAGGCAGCTTATTGTCCCGTTTCCATGATATCCTCCATCACAGGCAAGAGAAGCGGTTGATCCAAACGTTGTTGCGATATATTGCAAATTACCATTGGTCACATTCAATGGAGACCCGCAGTCTGAATAAAGGGTACACTCATTAGTTACATTTAAATTTAATATCATAACGTTAAACATAAGCGGAAAAATGGTTTATATATGCATATTTATTATAACGATTAACTAAAATAACTAGAATGAAAGATAACTCGGTATATTTTATTGACAGCGAGTGGGGCAATCATAAAATCATCGTCCAATTTACAAAGAATAACATCTAAATATGTTGTCTAAATATGTTGTTTCCGTGACATTCATTCTATTTCCGTACAATATTCATATGAAAACGGCATAATTTTACCAATTTTTTAAACAAAAGCACCTTCAGATATAGCTTTATACTCTTTTTTGTATTTCATATATACAAGTCACAGTGCATACAAAAGTGCTTTCAAAGGTTTTAAAAAAAGACGAATAATGTACACATTTCAATATACATTTGACGGCACATGTTCCAGTTTCTCAAAAACCAATATCAACAAAGCATGTACATGATTTATTTTCAACCACCTAAAGCCAAATTTGAAAAATCATTTTTAACCAAATGAAGGAAAC